TCTTTTGACTCAAAGATCAATAATTACTCTGGCTTGGTAATTTATTAAATATTAAGGAAAAAATAATATCGGTAGTAAACCTTAAAAACTTACTGCTTATCTTATATCAATGTTGTAGAGTTTGATATTCGATACTCGTTCGATCGATTTGGGAGTAACGAGTACTTGGCCTAGGCAAGGAGTACTCAGATACACTATTTTATAAAAAAAAAAAAAATTTGTGGAAATTATATGTATTAAAAATAAAAAAAAAATTATAAATCATTCGAAAGTATGTGAAATATCAATAAAAAATATACATGTTTGAATGTTAAACTAGTTCAAAAAAGTAAAGATTTTAATCATGAAATTCTTAAAGAATGAAAGAGAGAAAAACATAAACAAATTGTTTATCCAGTATCTTACTTTAGTTTTAGGAATAGTATGTTAGATAAAGTATAAAATATTTATATTAGCCTTGAACTTCTTGATGTTTTTCTCTATTTAAGTCAACTTTAACCATTTGACCGAGTTGGCTGAGTTTGAGTTTGACCAAGTTGATCCGAGTACTCGCCTGAGTTGATCCATTTTTACAACACGATCATATATATATATATATATATATATATATATATATATATATATATATATATATATATATATATATATATATATATATATATATATATATATACCAAGCTGCATTGACAAATCCTTAATATATACAAATCACTCGTGCATATATAGTTTTTGTTTATAGTATATTAGATATTAATTCAAATGGGTTAGAAATCACATGAAGGTCAAAATTGATTATGATTTACGAATATTGGGTTTTTATGTTTCATGTTGTTTTCCTATTTATTTATAGTAAGAGGGCCTCAAAACAAGCCCATGTTTTGTAGGTGTCAAGGAAATGACTTGTGTATCCTTCCAAAGTCCATAGAAAAAGGTGTTAAGGTGACCTAAGGTGTAGTGTGGTATTATAAACATGCCCACTTGTACAAGAGGCTAGCTGCCACTGGTGAATTGATAGCATGCCCATACCCATTAAGAGACTATGCTGAAAGGTGACAGGTGGTGACCTATGCAGTTATATCGGTCCAAAATAAATATCGGACAAGGGACGATATTTGAGATATAGATTATCATGGTGGGATATCAGTATTTTTACCATGAATTAACACTAACAACAACAAGTAAAATAACTTAACTGATATCCCACCTAAAAATATCGGTAAATACCGGTTAAACATCAGTAAATATTAGCCATTTTTGCGGTTGCGATATTTTGTCTTTTGAAAGGTAGCGATAACCGTTATCGCACTTGGAAATCTCCTGCAAATCGTCGATATTAACTTCTTAGGTCGTGACATAGGGTGTTATGTGCTAAATATGTCACAAACTTCATTGCTATAAAAAGAGAACGGAGAGCAGGGCAAATAGATGACTGAAAATGGGTGCATGTAGTTGCATAACATTCTTTCTATTATTATTAAATTTAAATTTTTATGTATGATAAATGTTTTGGAGAATTAAGAGTAATGATTTACAAATATTCTAAAGATGTTATCAAGAGTTTTAAAGATATGAGTTATGTGTTTTCAAAAGATTATTAGGGAATTCATCATAGGTCAACGATTGAGTTAATCCTTGACATCAAACGTTGTGAGGTCCAGATATTAATATTACTCATTAGGAACTTCCAATGCCTAACCTCCTACCTTTAAACATGTATTAGGTTCTAGTAGCTAATAAAGATTAGAGGATGCATGATATTTTGAAAGACACTACAATGTAATGGTTACTTAGCTTATGCATTATATTTGAATCGTAACCCTCTTCTATAGCCTTTTTGAAAACTTAATTATTTTGTGAAGATTTTTCAGACTTAAGAACCAATTTCTACAAATAATGACGCTTACTTTAAAAAGTATTTTAAACAGTTTTTAAAATATAAATTAAAATAGAGGTGTTTCGAAATCTCTCCTATAGTGAGTGTTTATAATATTGTTTTTTTTTGGGTTGCTAATTTGCAAATTTCAATCGAAGGCTATGACGATGGGATTTCATCTGAGCAAAATCGGAATTTGTTGATCTAATTCTTGGCTGGGTAATCTAGAGGGCATGTGCTTGTTTCCTGAAATTTCTTTTCAAAACGTCACCTGCAATGCAGCCATGGTGGATTTTGACCATTAAATTCCTTAAATTAGAGCAGATTTGAGCCTTCGATGGTTTGTTTATTATAGAAAATTTGTCTACGTTTTCAGAAAATTTGTGTTTTATTCTTTGCTCTTATAAGTAGGTTTGCAGAAAATTTATGTTTCATTCTTCAAATCTAAAGAATTATATATTCAAATCTGAATCTCTTTCGAAACATCTTCATAATTTTCCCCTTGTCATAATTTGATTTCGCTTGTGTTCACCTATTGAATAATGGAGGTTTTTTGCTTCAATACACAGTTGGGTTGTGGGTTTGATAATGGTAGTGGGATTGATTTCTTCACCAAAGCATGAACACAACAAGAAAGAAGTGGTTGGAGCTTGATTAATTGTGTGTGTGTTTTTTAGGAAAGAGAGAGAGAGAGAGAGAGAGAGAGAGAGAGGACCATGAGGGTGCATGAAACAAAGGGTATTTTTGTTATTTAACAAAACTTAACAGAATCTGTTAACAAAGTTAGTCATAGGGGCCTTTTGTGTGCAAGATTTGCTCCGTAGGTAGCATCTGAAGGAAAAAAAGTTTCGTAAGGATTACTTTAGGGAAAAAAATCAAAACCTTAAGGATCATTCGTGTAATTTGTTCTTGTTTTTAATTACTTTTTAATTTATATTATTAGCATTATTATTATTGTTATTATTGTTATAAAATTCGAAAAAAAAATTATAAATCCGACAACATTATAAATTCAAATGACGTTATAAAATTCAATCGCCTATATAAAATCGGTTTTTAATTATTTATTATTATTATTATTATTTTTATTTTTATAAATTTCGAACAACATTTTATAAATTGCAACGACATTATAAATTCGAGCGGCTATATAAAATTGGTTTTTAATTCTTTTTTATTACACACACACAAACACACATACACACACACACACACACATATATATATATATATATATATATATATATATATATATATATATATATATATATATGCGTCCGAATTTATAATGTTGTCCGAATTTTATATGGTTATCGAAATTTATAATAATAATATTAAAATATAAAATAAAATATAAAAACAAAAAAAACAAAAAGGGCGAAAAAAAAAAGAAAAAGAAAAAATATTGATGTCAAATTAAAAATAAAAAGATTGATTAGATTGATGTTAAAGGGTTAAAATTGGTTAAGAGGTCTTTATACCACAATCTCATTGTTTTTTTGAAAGGTTACCAAATTATAATAACCTTGTACTTTACTTTTTCCGCTAAATTATTACATTTTGAAAAGGCTATCAAATTCTTACAATAAATTACTTTGCATCGAATGACATCGTTACGACATACTATATTTTCTAGAATATAATATTATAATAAAAAAGAAATTTAAATATGAAACACTAATAAACAAATTAATAAAAGTATGATGCCATTTCTTTGATTTATCCTTCTTAAAATGTAAATGATCTTTGAAACTTTACTTGAATATTGACCTTGTGTGAAGGTAATAACTTTTGCATTAATGAAGTGTCATCATTTTGTCAAAGGAGTTTCAGACATTCCTTCAAATTATTCGTTTGTACATGACATCAGATTTAGGCGACGATTGAACACTATTTTATAAATGGAATATGTTTTCATGTATAAGAAATAGGTGAAAGTTTATGTATTAGGAATTAATAATAATAATAATAATAATAAATAAATAAATAATTTTTTTTTAAATTATGATATATTTTTTTCCCATAAATTTAATTATCATCGTACAACAAGTGAGATGACAAATGGACAACAAACTGCGCCGCTAAACCTTTTTGTATATCAAAACTCAATCTTTTAAAGACTACATTCATAGAACTAGGGGATATACCATTGCAATTCGGGCTGTCAAATATGTACCATGGAGAACCAACCAACATGCTACCAACCGAACTAAGATAGTTGGTTACCAATATGTTCGGTAGCCAATATGTTTGGTTGGCAGTACCATACCAATTTAGTAAACTTGGTATGGTAACGATATTAAATTTTAAATACCACGGTATTACCGTACCAACCAATTCATATATATATATATATATATATATATATATATATATATATATATATATATATATATATATATATATATATATATATATATATATATATATATAAACAAAATCATATTTTCCTTTATAATTTGAAAAGCTTGATATTAGTCATTACACTTACTCAATAGTTATTACCACATTAAACTAAAAAACTAAAAAGTTAATAAAATTCTTTAGTAACTAATATAGTTACTTTACTAATTTATATTACTAGACAAGAAAGTTGTCTCATGTTGTTATTGCGGATTTTTAATTATTACAATTAAAAAATAGATAGAATTTGGTAATGTACTGTTATCAATATGTACCAACCAAACTTGTTGGTAGTCAAACAAGTTGGTGCCAATTTTACTTGGTACCGTACCGGTAGCAAAAAATTTATATCAAATAGGATTGGTACGGTACACAGTTTGACTAAAAATAAATTGGTACCGTACCATGTTCAACCCTAATTGCAATGCATAATCCATTGCAATAAATAAATCGATTTAACAAATCATGTCTTGCTATATAAGGTGCGTCCTCTTTTCCAATAATAATAATAATAATAATAATAATAATAATAATAATAATAATAAAAAGTTGATACGAAGTTGACATGTGGAAATCCCTAAATTTCAACTCCATTGTTCACAAAAATCAACATCTAATTCATCAAATTTCAAACGGATCCTAGATATAATTTGAATAATAATAGTTGATGGCAGGGTTAGATTATGAGTGTACCAAGATGTCGATATTTTATTAGGTTTCAATGCTACTGATAAACAAAGTCTACATTCAACCAAAACAAAAATGACTAATGAGTATATAATATTACGAAAAGTAAATATTATTATTACACCAGGTAAATAATTAGCATTGAATTCACCCATCGTATCTGATTTTTCATCAGAAACAGATCATTGTTTTTACACCAAAAACATAACTTATCAAAACAATTGATTATCATTCGAACTTAAAAGTGTTCCGTGCTGAAAAAATACGTCGGACTTTTTATATTTTTGCAAGAACCATAATCTGTTTATAGCATAAACAAAATGAAATAATTAGAGTCCAAAAATGCGCTTACAAGTTTTCAGTATACTTCCCCTGCTCTTTTTCTTCTTAAATATTCCCATATGTAAATCTTCTCCTCGTTCTTGTTCTTGTGCTTCAAAATGATCAACATCATCAAGTGGATTTGCATACTGATCGTGGATCCTGGCATACCTTTCAGACACAGATGAAGATCTTCTGATTGAAAAAGCTCTTGTCACTGCTGTCTGCAATGCTCTTCCTGTACTGTTCTGTTTCTCGATCTTGAATCTGCTACTAAGAGTGCTTGTACCGTTTGCATTAGCAGTAGTACCACCAGAAGCAACTGACCTGTTTCTGGTCAGCATTTTCATTGGAAAGTTGGCATCTTCTTCTTGATGATTACCGGAATATTGCTTATAATCATCATCATCATCATTATAACGATCTGGTTTTTTCGGTTGTTGGTGAGTGGTGGTGATGGTTGATTTGTTGATTGAAATGGGTTTCTGGATTCTTGGAGTTAGGATTGTTTGATCTGTGAAATCCATGGATCTTGATTTGTTGCTTCTGTTCATCAGCTTTATCTTTGAATACCCATTCATTCTTCTAGATAGGGCGGTAGAGCGGTAGAGGTAATAGTGACCAAATTATATATATATATATATATATATATATATATATATATATATATATATATATATATATATATATATATATATATATATATATATATATATATATGTATGCATGCAACATATGTGTATCTGCACGTGCCAAGGAAGAGCCAAGACAAAAGTGAAATAGGTGTGGAAAGAAGTGGGCAAATGAGGATGCGATTGTTAGATTTGAAATAATGCAAAGCAACAGCTGGACAATGGTCAACTTTGTCTACCCCATCTCCTTCAATTATTCAACATTTCTATAATCTTGAACAATTTTAAAAAGTGTGATAAAAATTAAAATATCATAATGTTTATTCCAGTAATTGACAACGTAATGTGATATCTCCCTATCTAATAAACAAAACCAACTGGACACGTATCATTACAATCATTCATTTTTCGCCCTATGTTAAATTACTCTATTACCCCTTCAGCATCCTTTCACGTATCATTAGGTAATAGATAAAATAGGTAATTAGGTATGGAATTGAATTAGATTAGATTATATATGGAATATGGAATTTCACGTAGAATTACAAATTGAATATGGATGGAAATAATGATATTGTATCGAAATCTTTGGAATATTGAATCTGGAAATATCGATATTTTCTAATTTGAAATTTGAATATGGAATATCTGTTGTATACATTAAATCAATTCCGTTACATGCCCGATTAAGAGCATCTAAAAATGGTATGCATATCAATCAATTATTATGCGCATAACATACTATATCAATCATATTCCGCTTCAATTACATAATTCAATCTTTACGACAGTCTATGCATCTCGATTCTGCTTCTTAATTTCGAATATTCAATCAGCAACTTCAATCTTTCGGTGAGTTTCTCATGATTATATATGATTGCTTCTCAATGTTTGTGTTAATCGTATAATTGAAAGTTTTTTTCTTCTTCTGCGACTTCAATTTTGCTTCTCATTGAATTTGTTAATCAAGGTTTCTATTTATCTTTGATTCAGAAGTTGTTTATTAATTATTTTCGTCTGATTTATCAAACCGTTTATATAATAAACAAAAAAGTATCAATTTCTTTTTGAAGTTCCTGTTACACTATATCCCATTTTTAGTAATTTATTCTCAAAGAACAATGCTATAATCTGTAATTTATCATCTTTTAGTTTAATTTTCTAAATATATGTGTGGTTGTCTATGTGTGTGTATCTCTTTAAAAATTCTGCAATTTCATCATTTTATGACCCCCATTTGCGAAGTTGAGTATTTATTTCCAAAAATGCGAAGCTCCAGGGACAATATTTGAAAATTTCTGTTTTCTTCCCCAATTCGCATTCTACTGTGAAATACTTCGCATCTTCATTGATCAAGTTAATTCTAAAAGTCGGTGTTCCAGTTATGTTACTAAGAAACATTGATCAAAAAATGGATTATGTAACGGCACTAGACTACAAGTGAAATCTCTTGGCAAACGTGTTATTGAGGCAATTATAATATCTTGAACTAATATCGGAAAGCAAACATTTATTCCAAGAATGTCTTTAAGTCCATCTGAAAAAAAAAATTCCTTTCAAATTTCAAAGAAGACAATTTCCATTGGCTGTATGTTTTGCAATGACAATTAATAAAAGTCAGGGGCAGTCGTTATCAAAGGTTGGTCTGTATCTCAAGGATCCTGTTTTTTCACATAGACAACTGTATGTTGCCTTATCTAGAGTTCAAAGTAGAGAAGGACTGAAATTGTTAATTTTAGATAAGGATGGTAGACTTACAAACAAAACTTCAAATGTTGTGTATAAGGAAGTTTTTAGGAATTTATAACTGCTTCTTACCCATTAAATTCTAACAATTATGTTTTTTTTCTGTTTTTTTGTAACATTTTTTTAAAATAATTTATTCTTTATAGAGCATTGTAATCCATAATATTCAGTTTGTTTTGATATTTCATTTTCAGACTTTAATAGACGCCACATGGTGTTTCTTGATTCCTCCCTCATTACAAAAAATATTGATTTTGCCTCACACTTCATAAATCATTCACATATTCAAAGATGTATTTTAGTTATCTTCGTATTTAACTTTCGATGGATTGATTGTGTTTCTATTTAACATATATTCAAATTTATATACTTTTTTACAAAATTATATTAATTTTAATTTTAAATAATCATTACAAATATTGCTAAACAAACTTAATTCTTATCTTCTCTACTAATAAAACAGTACTAGAAATGTCACCTGGCATTCCCTTAGCCACTCACCCTTGCATTTTCCCGCTCAAAAATTATAAGTGAAGATCCCACTTCGCCCTTCTATTCTCAAAAGTCAAGAACAATGTCTTATAATTGTCTATATCCCATTTTTAGTAATTTATTCTCAAAGAACAATGCTATAATCTGTAATTTATCATCTTTTAGTTTAATTTTCTAAATATATGTGTGGTTGTCTATGTGTGTGTATCTCTTTAAAAATTCTGCAATTTCATCATTTTATGACCCCCATTTGCGAAGTTGAGTATTTATTTCCAAAAATGCGAAACTCCAAGGACAATATTTGAAAATTTCTGTTTTCTTCCCCAATTCGCATTCTACTGTGAAATACTTCGCATCTTCATTCTTACACCCTTCGCATCCCTTCGCATTAATCACCTTCGCATTTTAACCTAATTAATCAAATGCGAACCACAAAATTTTCATTCCATATGCGAACACAGTTTAGTTCTTGAACTCTAAACTTGCGAAATCAAAAATTCATATGTTGAACCCATATGCGAATATTAACCCAATTGACTACAAAATTGATTCACAGATCCAAACACTCGATTGTTTTACTTTCGCAAAATGAGCATCAACAACTCCACAATCGACTTTTTAAATTCTTGCAAACAACAATTTCACAGTCCTTGACTTCACGTTTTTCTTCACGAATCATCCCTCAATCATCAATCCAATTGCGAATCAAAACTCATATGTTCTTGCTTTATCGATTCATCGACTACACTCATACAAATGCGAACAATACTCAATTTCAAAATCGATTGAAACTTATAGCAAAGCTAAATCCAACTTCGCATTCAAAGCAGTGTTATTGATTGCATTCATGAAATACTAACAAGATAATATATTATAATACAAATATACATATTTTAGGTGGTGAAATCGTAACAGCCTAACAATTTGGTATGCAACTTTATTAAATCAATAAAAAAAGTTATGCAAATTGGAAAAATAAATAAAAATATATCTTTTGTTGTTTTAATTAAGGAAATAAATATTTTATATGAATACTCACCTGGAAAAATGCATATTATAATTGTCTAATATCACTATTCTTCATTTTTTCTAAACTTTCATATCTTTTTTTTGTTACAAATTAAAAACTATAATTATATTTCAATTTATCACCCGTGGATTTCCACGGGTTTAAACCTAGTTATATACTAATGTGATGTTAGTTATGAAAAATTGGATGTTAATTTATGGGAAATTAAGTAATCTAATCATTTAAAAAATGTATTTAAAAAAAAAAACAAGTAAATTTTTTTTAATAAAAATAATCATTTAAGGGTTGTTTGATAGTTATTAACCGAGTCAGATCTGACTGAGTAAATGCATGATTGAATCTGAAGTTCTAACTGTTTATGTCTATGATTGAAACCATATTATTTAATTACCATATATACTAAATGTTCAACATGATCATTTTATTCATTCTTTGTGTTATTCACAGGGCCGGTCCAAATATATACGGGACCCGGGGCGAAAAGAAAAAAAATGGCTCTTAAAGATAAATATAATAAAGATTAAAAAAATATTATTTATTATTCACTGTAAACGTATTCAATTAGCAATAACAAGCAACCCAAAATGTTTATCTTTTCACTTAGTTTGAGTTTGAACCAACTTTAGGCCCTAAAAATCATTTACATAATATATATATATATATATATATATATATATATATATATATATATATATATATATATATATATATATATATGCACTACATAGCCTATAAATTTTAGGCCTCCTAAAGACGTGGGCCCTGGACGGTCGCCCGGATTGCCCACCGTCTGGACCGGCCCTGATTGTTCAATTGATAAAATAGCCAAAAAAAATACCCTTTCATAACAAATTATATATTTACAAAATGGCATAGAAAGGAATGGAATATATATATATATATATATATATATATATATATATATATATATATATATATATATATATATATAATTAATAATGATAAAAATACCCTTCATTTTATTCATTCTTTGTGTTATTCAATTGATAAAATAGCCAAAAAAATACCCTTTCATAACAAATTATATATTTACAAAATGGCATACAAAGGAATGGAATATATATATATATATATATATATATATATATATATATATATATATATATATATATATAAAAATTAACAATGACAAAAAATACCCTTTATAAAACAAATACATATATTTAAAATCTTTAATAAAATTATCTTTTGTCTCATGCTTTCTAGAAAATCAAGGAGAAACATATCATAATTTCTCGAATTTGCTTCATGTTGTCACAATGTTACTTAAGCCACATCATCAAGGTTATTGTTTCCTTTATTCTCAATGTTTGTTTCATCCGTTTCAAGAATCATTTCACATAAATAATATTTCCATTCATTTATGATGTTGTGTAAAGTTCTGTTATCCCCCAGTCTACCCCTCTATTGATGATTATGCTTGTTTCCCTCTCTATTCCAAACAACTTTTGAATTTATGAGGAGAAACCCTATCTTACTTTGCATCCTGTTGGAAATATATATATATATATATATATTTATATATATATATATATATATATATATATATATATATATATATATATATATATATATATATACTCAAGTAAGCTAATGAATGTAACAGATCGTCATTGGTACTCATCATATCATAAAAGCAATCATATTTGACTTTCACTAT